CTAGTTACTTTTCCTTTTTAAGTATTACAAGGTCAACTTCTGAGGTGATACGAATTATTGGAGATCCATCTTCTTTGCGAAGGAAAACTTTCCCGAAAGATGTCCAGCAATACTTATATCGGTAAAGTACTGAGAGCTCTCTGGCTAGGAAGAATAGCTGCTTGGCTTTGGGGGTGAGGTTTTCTGAAATATATATTGGTAGTTTTGGCCCATCGATATTCAGCTGGAAGGTGTTCAATTTTGCGGCATTGCCTTTTTTGTTGAACGTTTTATTTGATTGTAAAAAAAATTTCTTTGTTAACACTGTCGTAAATTCAGCAATTATTGTTTTTTGTGTTTTAGAATGGACACGAAACACGTCTTTTATATCTGACGGTTGAATGGAAGCATTTATGGTTTCACCCAATTTTACTATGGTCTTAATTAAATCTTGCTTTGTTTCATTCATTTTTTGAGGTACATTTCTGATTTCGACACTTGATGATCGGAGTTGCCTCTCTAATGTTTCCACTTTTTCTTCTAAGAGTTGTATTTGCTTTCGATCGTCTTTTTTTTTCTTGTTCTAGAGTTTCTATTTTTTTTAGAAAGGTATCGTACAATGTTGAGTTAAAATCCACGGCCTGTTTTAAGATTTCATTTTGCGTCTTTATCTCCACCATTTTTTCATTTAAATTTAGGAAGTACTGCTGTTGATCTCGAATAAGTTCCTTAAACATTCTATTAACATCAATTTTAAATGTATTAAATTCATCTTCACGCTTCCTTTTGGCACGGTAAGTTATGTTCGGTTGGCTATCGGAATCAGAATATATATTTCGATCTGAATGGCATAGTGTTTGGGATGTAAAGTTGATGGCCGCCGTCGAAATGGAGGTCTTGGTAGCGCTAGTAGCGCTAGAGGTTTAAACGGCAATATTCAGCGGCTGCGAAGTAGACTGCGGTGGCGAGCGAGAAATTATAGTAGCGTTAATATAAAGTACCAGGGCAATATAAACAATCAGGTGTTATGTATTGCAAGTTCCACCGTTTCGTTACTATTTGCTTAGAGGTCAAGCAACTGGTCGTCGATCGACGATTCTTATACAAAATGCCTAACCGTCTAATATAAGTTGATCTCTTATCCTATGCATGCAATATTAATTTATGCTATCTCTATTTTATCCAATGGCGGTGTGATTAGCCGATTCATTCTCGCTTCAAGTATTAATTTGTAAACATAATATACTTCAATAACAAAGGTTTTACTCACACAGCTTCTGTATCGAAGATTGTTGAGAGTATTTGAACACTTCTTCAATTTTATGCACTCCTATTTATTTATTTGAATTTGTCGTTTGTTGTTAAATAAAATGCATAAACTAACTAATTACACGTCTGTTCTCTTCAAGAGTCCGAGGGGAATAGCCAAAAATTACCAATACATATGAAAAAACATACCGGAAAAAACCTTTTTCAGTTCAACAGAAAATATATTCACACATTTTTAATAATCACAAAGTTAAACAAAAAAAACATATAACGTATTTCATTTAAACCTAATTGAACTTCCTTGTTTTAAATAAAAAAAAAGTAATATATAAATTCTGCAATATGTCCAGTAAATGACCAACACTGATTTCTTTATTGAATAGACGTAATTGTATATCCTGTATAAATTCGTCTCTTTTAATGTACATTTACAATCGTTTTCTATTTTTTTACTATAGTTGTGTTAGCAAAAAACTGGGCGTTTTTTTTGGAAGCAATTCCACAAGGCTGCGTGCTATCGCAAACGTTGTTTCTTCTGCATATCAATGACATGTTGCCAACCGGTAACATTCATGGCTATACAGACGACAGCACTGTGATTCTCTATACACCGAACGTGCCAATATTTCTCGCGAAAACGTCGCAGAGTACCGGGACAAACTTGTGTCTGAAGTCGAAACTTTGTTGCACGAATTGTGTTTGTTGTTTGTGTCTCGGATTGGGGCGACTAAATCTAGTCTAGTTTAAGCCCCAGAAGACACAAGTTTGCGCGTTTACCGCAAAAAACCCCTGCGTCTTATCTCCTCAGTATTAAGGCACTCCCTTTTTTGCCTCAGCCAGTATCGGAATCCTCGGCGTCGACATATCGAGTTACGTGCAGTTTCGCGGTCACTTGGAAGAGAAGGCCAAATTGGCCTCTAAAAAGCTTGGCGTGCTCAGCTTAGCGAGACAGTGTTTCATGCCGGCTCACCGCCTGCAACTTAACAAGGCGCAGGTTCGGCCGCACATGTTACCATCTCTGGGCCGGGCTCCCCAGAGCCAGCTCCTTCCATTTGGTCGCATCCAGCGCAGAGCTGTTCGAATCGTCGGCGACCGAGCTCTTTCCGATCGGCTTGACTCACTGGCACTGCGAAGAGATGTTGCATCTCCGCGATTTTTATTGCATCTACCAAGGGGAGTGCAATGAAAAATTGTACGGACTAATTCCATTCGCACAATTTCACCATCGCACATCTCGACAACACTCGCGATACCAACCATACCATCTGGATGACTGGCGGTCCATCGCCGTGCGATTTAAAAGAAGTTTTCTTCCTCGCGCAACTTCCTTGTGGAATCGACTACCACCCGACCAGAGATTTTTCCGGCCCGATACGACTTAGGGACCTTCAAGAAAAGAGCCTACTCCTTTTCAAAAGGCCGGCAACGCATCTGCAATTCCCCTGGTGTTGCAGTTGTTCATGGGCGGCGATAATCATTCACCATCAGGTGAGCCATATGCTCGTTTGCCCCTTCTATAAATAAAATAAAATATTTTACTAAAGGAGACAACCAATTTTTGGCCCACTAGAAATATTAACGACCTTCAATAGGATTACACTAAAAAGAAGATACTAAATTATAATGGTAAATGGCCTACAGATTTTGTGATAATCTAAACAGAATCAAGAAATATAAAAAAACCTGGTGGTTTTTATAATCGTGTTCTGTTTAATGTAATATGGGGAAAATGTGTGTACTTAATCATTCTGCAGTTTTTATAAAAAGAAAAATATTTTTTTACAAAGATGACTAATTATATACATATACTTAATTGTATTTTATACGGGTATTTTTGAAACGCTCCCGAAAACGAAGACAGACGACAGTATTAGGGAAACCTTTGATGTGACAAAAATAAAATTGATCCCGGTAAAAAAAACACATTTTTTTACAACGTTTAATTAGCTTTATTCACGCTCTATCGTGCTAGTACAGCTAAATGAAACGATAATTTCATAAAAAAAATCATCATCATCATCATCATTACAGCCCTTTACAAGTCTACTGCTGAACATAGGCCTCCCCCAAGGTATGCCACAAAGCGCGGTCCTGAGCCACCTGCATCCATCGACTTCCTGCATGTCTTACCAGGTCGTCACTCCATCTAGTGGGGGGTCGCCCTACACTTCGTCTACCGGCACGAGACTGCCACTCGAAAACCTTTTTTCCCCAACGGTTTTCGGTTCTTCGAGCTATATGGCCGGCCCATTGCCACTTCAGCTTACTAATCCGTTGGGCTATGTCGGTCACTCTGGTTCTACTGCGGATATCCTGATTTCTAAGTTTATTACGCAGGGAAACTCCGAGCATAGCCTTCTCCATAGCTCGCTGAGCGACTTAGAGCGTTCTCATACGGCCAGCAGTGAAAGACCACGTCTGAGTTCCATGTGTCATCACTGGCAACACGCACTGGTTGTACAACTTAGTTTTCAGGTTTTGAGGTATACCTGACGAGAAGATGTGCCGTAATTTCCCGAACGCTGCCCAGCCGAGTTGAATCCGTCGATTGACCTCTCGGTCGAAGTTGGACTTACCTAGTCGGACTATTTGTCCCAGGTAAACGTACTCGTCAACAACTTCGAGCATAGTGCTCCCAACAATTACCGGCATAGGTGTGACATGGACATTAAACATGATCTTTGTTTTGTCCATGTTCATCTTAAGACCTATCCATTGGGAGACACCATTGAGGTCATTGAGCATAGTGCTAAGGTCCTCCAGCGATTCTGCCATAAGGACTATATCGTCGGCAAATCGAAGGTGAGTGATGTACTCGCCATTGATGTTAATACCGTATCCTTTCCAGTCCAGTAGCTTGAAAACGTCTTCCAATGCAGCGGTGAAGTTTCGGGGAAATAACGTCACCCTGTCTTACACCTCTCTGCAGTTGGATAGGTTTCGTACTCTGGTTCTGTACTCAGATAGTCATCGTAGCCCTACTGTACAAACACTTCAGCACTTCGATATACCGACAGTCAACTTGGCACTGCTGAAGAGACTGTAGCACCGCCCAAATTTTTACGGAATCAAAGGATTTCTCATAGTCCACATACGCCAGGCAAAGTGGCAGATTGTACTTTTCGAACTTCTGTACAATTTGCCGAAAGGTATGTATGTGGCCTGGGTTGGTGGTCTCGTGGGGGACTCCGGTTCCGGTGTCGAACAGTGAACATCTGTTATTGTGACTCGTCATAATATAATTCCAATTTACCGTTAATTTCTACACAAACAACTTAAAACTGTTATCAACGTGGAAATTGGCAACAAAAGCAAGTGGTGAATATATATATTTGGACAACTGAAGTCCAAAAAGCAAAACAATTTCATGGTTGTTTACACCATCGAACAGGTTAGAAAAGGAAAATCATTCTCCCATACTTCGATGACAGTTTGAGGTACCATCCTACTAAACACAACAGTAACCATAAATTACAGATGAGACACATTGTTGGTATTACCCTATATATTCAGTAATCTATGGTATTACCCATAGATAAATAAATATGTAGCAAGCTAGTATTACCTAACGCTTAAATATTGTTACCACCTCAAAACTAGTGTTGCCAGCTCTAAACTAATTTTTCTTGCCAACTGCAAACTAGTGTTGCTTACAAAAAAAACAGTATTACCAACACCAACGCAGTATTGTCATGCTCAACCAAGAAACTACCACTAACATGGATAAACAAATGAAAGATTTCTGGAGAACAATGAAGGAGGAAATGGCAGCGCAAACAAGGGAGATAGCCGAAGCAGCCACTAAAAACGTTTCAGAAAGTATTAACGAAAAATTAACTGCTCTTGTGGAAGAGAATAAAAACCTGAAGACGGAAGTCAAGATCTTACATGTAAAAATCAAGCAAATGGAGGAGCACAGAAGAAAAAACAACATCTTCGTCTTTGGAGTAAAAGAGGAACAACATAATGAGTCCTTAGTAGAATCCACCATAAAATTGCTAGAAAAAAACATGAATATACACATCGACTTACATGAATTAAATAACGCTTATAGACTAGGAGAAAAGAAAGATAATAAACCACGTCCTATTCTTGTAACCTTTACAACAAACTGGAGAAGAAATGAAGTACTCAAGAACAAAAAGAAACTGGATTCAGGAATCTACATCAAAGAGGATCTCAGTAAAGAAACTCTGGAGAAGAGAAAGCGACTTCTGCCCCAACTAAAGGAAGAAAGGGCTAAGGGCAATATTTGTTATTTTGTTAAAGATAAAATAGTCACCAAAGAACCGAAACAAGCAAAAAGAGATAAGAGGAAAAGAGATTGCACCGATTCTCCAGACAAATTGCCAAACCAACCATCCACGTCGACTCCAAAGAAGATCAATAAAACAAACATGCTAGACTACGTGGCACGGGGTAGATCCGCGTCACTGTCATTACCTACAACCAAAAAAAAAAACGACCAATAGACACCGACAACAGGAAACACAAATTAACCAACAAAAAGTATCTACCCAACGAAACAACCAGAACACTCACCCCAAGACGGCTGGTCACCGCGGGGAAACGCGACCACTACCCTCCGACCATAACCACCCTGCCTCAAAAGAATTTTTTTGTAATGAGGATACAAAACACCAAATACATACATATAGCAACATACAACACGCTATCTTTAAGATCCGATCCGATCCGAGATCCTACAAGAACTTTTACATTCTTTAGAAGATATTAAATGAGACATTATCGGCTTGAGCGAAGTAAGACGTAATGGTGAAGCTATTGTGGAGTACAGCCAGTTCATATTGTATTACAAAGGTGAAACACCAGGAAGACATGGAGTGGGGTTCTTAATCAAGAAAGAATTTAAAAACTTTATTGTGGAAATAAATGGTGTATCCGAAAGAATTGCTTTATTAAATATAAAGATCCCTTCAGACAAAGAAATATGGTCTATTGTGCAAATTTATTCACCAACCGAGCAATCTACTACTCTAGAAATTGAGGCATTTTACTCGTCTCTTAATACCGCCCTTAAAAACACGCACATAAAAACTGCATTATAATGGGTGATTTTAATGTACAAGTTGGGGTACCAAGGAACGGAGAAGATATCGTACTTGGCCCTTACAGTAGTGGAAAAAGAACAAGAAATGGAAAAAAACTAATGTAAATGGCTTTTGAAAACAACATGAAAATACTAAACAGTCAATCCAAAAAAAAAATCTTCTAGACGGTGGACATGGGCATCGCCAGATGGACGCTACAGAAACGAAATAGACTACATTCTAACTAACAGGCCCAAATCATTTGACGACTGTGGCACTATATCAAACCTCAATTTCAATAGTAACCATAGAATGCTTAGAGCATGTCTGAACACATCATCTACTCAAAGTGTCCCTTCAAAGTAAAACCAACAACATCGAACAAAAAAGAAAATCTCAACTCTGTCACAGAATCATCTCTTCAGCACTTAAACACTCAACAGAAATACAATATACTACACGAAATACTAACAGCAAGACCGAAAACCAGCACTGAGTGCAAAACGAAGGATAAAAGACAGTTGAAAAAGACAGTTTCAGAAAAAAACAATTGAACTCCTAGCGGAAAGATCCAAATTAATTAATACCTTAAGCAAAATGAAATTCATCCGGGAGCAAATAGGCAAACTGAGCAAAGAAATAAAAAGCCAAATGAGAAAAGATAGAGAACATTTTAGACTCGAGACTTTTGAAAAACACATTAGCAAGACTGGAGGTATAAAAAAGGCTCTTAAAATTTTATCAGAACATAAAAACTGGATACCAAATCTGAAAGATCGCCACTGCAAGGCAAAGACTAAAAGGTCAGACATATTATCAATAGCTACAAACTTCTACGAAAACTTATATTCTAGCAAAATACAAAAAGACAATACTGATTTAAATAACAACAATAGTGTACCACCCATTCTAGCAGAAGAAATAAAAAAAGCAATTGAAACACAGAAGAAAGATATAGCTCCTAGTCCCGACGAGATCAACAACGAATTGCTTTTAGACTGCAAATACTACATTGCACCTTTACTAAAATACATTTTCAACGATATACTCTACACCGAAGAAATTCCAACACAATGGACTACATCAACGATTATCCTGCTTCACAAAAGGCGACAAAGATGAAATAAACAACTATAGACCCATTAGTCTAATATCCCATATTTATAAAGTCTTTGCAAAAGTAATCCAATCACGAATAACCAGAACTCTAGACGAAAATCAGCCCAGAGAGCAGGCCGGCTTCAGGACAGGATATTCAACGCTAGATCACATACATGCTGTAAGACAAATTTTTGAGAAGAACAAAGAATTCAATGTACCATTCTACTGCTGCTTTATCGATTATAACAAGGCATTCGACTCAATAGAACACGAAAATATTTGGCACTGTCTGAAGAACCAAGGCGTCGAGCATAAGTACATAAGAATTCTAAAAAACGTTTACACCTACAGTACAGCTAGGATAAAATTAGAAAAAGAGGGAAAAGAAATAAAAATAAATAGAGGCGTACGTCAAGGAGACCCGCTATCACCTAAATTATTTACAGCTGTCCTAGAAGAAATCTTTCGCAAACTAAAATGGGACCAGTATGGACTAAACATAAATGGAGAAAAACTAACCCACCTGCGCTTCGCCGACGATATTATATTATTCGCCACAACAAAGGAGCAACTACAAAACATGCTTGTAGACCTGGGAAAAGAAAGTCGCAAGGCAGGCTTAACAATGAACGCTTCTAAAACCAAAGCCATGACAAATGCACACGAAGACACTATTATCATAAATGGCGAGCCGATTGAGTATGTGAAAGAGTACGCATATTTAGGACAACAAATCTCAACCATCGACATAATGTGAAAGGAAATTGATACTAGAATTGGGAAAGCATGGAAATGTTACTGGCAGCTAAAAGAAGTAATGAAAAATACAGAAATTAAGATGTCCGTCAAATCAAAGCTTTACAACACCTGCGTGCTACCAGTCCTAACATATGGCTGCCAAACTTGGGCACTTACTAAAATGCAAAACAAGAAACTAGAAACCTGTCAGACAGCAATGGAGAGGAGCATGCTGAATATAAATAAATCGGATAGAATAAGGAACAGAATTACGAGGGCGGCACTGAAAATTTCGGGAATCAAGGAAATGGCACAACATTACTATTTAAAAATGTATTTATTGCTTTTCGAAGTATTCTCCGTGAAAGGAGACAATCAATTTTTCTATGGAGAATGGGCCCACTACAAATTTTAAAGATTATCAATGAAATGCATGTCGATTTATTCCTTATGATCCATAGATTACAATAAAATTATTAGTTTTACTGCATCTAAACGGAGTCCTGAGAAATTAACAAATAAAATAGGAATCTAACAATAACCTAAAAACAAACTGGAAGCGATTTTCTAGTAGTATTCATTGGTATTATAAGTTAAAATAGTGCACACTTGAATAATAGTACATATAAAACTAAGCTGTAGGTATATTCAGCATTTATAAATATTTTAAAATCGATGTAAAACCTTTCACTAGTTCGGGCAAAACATAGTGCCTGTCTATGCACAAATGTATATGGATTTTAACTTTGACATGTATTGATTGGTTGTGAGTGTAATTCTAAATACCAAGATGGCTAAGGGATAATATCTTGAATAATAGTACATATAGAACTAAGCTGTAGGTATATTCAGCATTTATAAATATTTTCAAATCGATGTAAAACCTTTCACTAGTTCAGGCAAAACATAGTGCCTGTCTATGCACAAATGTCGTATGGATTCTAACTTTGACATGTATTGATTGGTTGTGAGTGTAATTCTAAATACCAAGATGGCTAAGGGATAATGTCTATTTATATTTATGATATTACCAACACACAGTAAGATACGTTTTAAACTGATTGTATTACAAAAAACAAAATATAATGTAGGTAATTCTATTTATTATTGTAAATCATAATTTATTTAAGTATTCTATTAACAGTAGTAGGTGCAGAAACAGAAACCTTTTATTCAATTTAGATTATAAATAATACTTATTGAAAGTCACTTTTTTAATTTACCACTGGTTCGGAAAAAACCTCTGACTTGAAGAGAACCAGCAAAATACCCAGTGGATCTTTTAAAAAAAAGCCAGCTTACAATCATGTGTCATAATTAACAACACAGAACAAAAAAATCGAACTTTGATGATTGACTGACATATATAGACAGGAGCGGGGTCAAGCATTATTTTAAAATGGTTTTGGTTGATTAGTAAGTAGTATACATCATAATAAAATGACTAGGAATTAACATGCCTTATCTATGTCATTACACAATGATAAATAGTGAGGAAGTAAGATGTTTTAAACTGTTTGTGTAAGGATTACAAAAACACAGGCTTAATTTAAATGTATTTATTACTAGTGATGCGCCTCAGCTGTGCACTGGTGATTTATGGATCTCGACAACAGTGCCATCTACCGAGTCCAAATGTAAATATAAACCATCTAAGGATCCATCCAAACACACACAAACATTTTCATTTAAATTGGTTGGAAGGTTTCTTATGTTTTGTCTATAACGGACATAGGTAGAAACATTTTAGTGTTAGATATATTTCTGAAGGTTTTTTGAAAATAACTTGATGGTAACATGTACATTTATGATATTGTAAGCAATCAGAAGGAATTTTCAATTGTAAGATATATGATATAAGACTGTTGTCTTCAATATCCATACACTTTTTGTCTCTGCAAGCTTTCAGCCTGCACGGCATACAGATTTGTTCTAAGCGATCCACCTGAAAAGAAGTTAATGACAATTGTAAAGGTGTCTTAACTAAACAATAATTCTTATCAATATATTATTTTTTTCTATATTATATGGGAATTAAAAGGACATTTTTAATAATAAGAGATATGAGATAAGACTATGCCTTCAATGTCAATAAACTGTATTTACATATTTCTGTGAGCATTTTCTTATATCTGCCTTTTCATATGTTAAATAATAAAGAAATTATTATAAATTATACAGCATTAATCAGCTCCAGCTGATCAAATACAGAAGCAGTAATTATTAACATCAATGATATTGAACCATGTAAAAGTTGTCTCACATTTTATTTTTACCGGTTTCATGTAATTACATAGTAGACAAAGATATTTTTGTTATATTAAGTATATCTGATTCTAGATGACAAAATAATATTCCTGTCTGCACAGTGAACAACACAGGTATCTAAGCATAATAGAAACAACCATTACACTTTTTTTATGCAAACTATTATTATTAAACTTTATTTTTGTTCAAATCTAGTACAAATAATTACTACATTTTTTACACATAAATATATGTAACATTTATATTGCCTATCTACTATGGCTGGTATAAATCCAAGATCTGTGTCTGGCTTAACAAAAAAGCCATTTAGTATT